GACCACCTCAAAGAAATTAAATATAGACCCAGAAATTAAATATAGTCAACCGAGAAGTGAGTGACATAAATGACCTCAGTGGAGAGGTAGGCGATGACAGAGAGAGAAAAATAATAAACCAACAGAAGCAGAAGTTGCCAAGGCAATAAAAAGGTTAAAAAACAACAAATCCTCTGGAAAAGATGGTATACGCCATGAGCTGTTCATATATGGAGCAAACGCGCTAAAAAATACATAAAAAAATTGTTGCATTCATTTGGAGAGAAGGAAAACTCCCAGACAGTTGGAATGTAGATAATATAATACCTATTCACAAGAAATCGGATCCACTAATATGTGACAACTATCGAGGCATTACCCTCTTAAATACGGTTTACAAATTACTGGCTTATATACTTTATGATCATTTACTAGTATATACTGAGGAAAAAATAGGCAAATACCAATGTGGATTCCGAAAAGAAAGGTCAACAATTGATCAGATTTTCCTTCTCAGACAAACCTTAGAAAAGACATGTGGATATGGAATTAATACCCACCACCTCTTCATAGATTTTAAAAGCGCTTATGACAGTGTAGACAGAAGCGCACTTTATAATGCCATGGAAGAACTTGATATTCCGTCGCGGTATTGGTACAGGCAACTCTTTCGAAAGTTAAGTGCAAAGTCAAGATACAAAACAGAGTGTCAAGGTCTTTTCAAACATATACTGGATTACTCCAGGGAGACAGTCTATCGTGCCTATTGTTTAACATCGCGCTAGAAAGAGCCTTAGAGAAATCGGGCATAACAACCAGAGGTACGATCATCAATAGAAATGTTCAGATATTGGTCTACGCAGATGACATTGACATAGTAACACGGACAAGACGAGATACTGACGATACCTGATACAGGCTTTTGAAACATTAGAAAAAGCCGTGAAGACAATGGGACTGCAGGTCAACGTATTAAAAACAAAATACATGAAGGCCACGAACAGCACACAAATAGCGTTCGAAAGGGGTTCGAAGGCAACCTGTCGAACAGAGCTTACTTTGGACTAAAGCAGTTCTTAACATCACACATAATTAGCAGAAAAACCAAGATACTAATATATGAAACTCTTATTAAACCTGTCCTGACATACGCGTCAGAGTCATGGACTATGGTAAAAAGCGATGAAAAACTGTAAGGCTGCTTTGAAAGAAGAATACTTAGGCACATATAGGGAGAGTACAAGAAAGCATGATATGGCGCAGGTGTTACAATTTTGAGTTGCATCAATGCTATGAAAAATGCAACATCGTCCGGTCTATTAAAATTAATAGATTAAGGTGGCTAGGACACCTTGAAAGAATAGACACTGGAGACCCTCAAAGACAGATATTATATCAAGAGCCAGTAGGAACTAGGAAGAAAGGCAGGCCAAGATCTGGATTTAAAACTCAAGAGTGGAAGATAACTTGAGGAATTTAGGGTTCAGAAACTGGAAAGCCAGGGTGAAAGATAGGTGGGAATGGAGACTAATTCTTAAACACACAAAGACCCAGGGTTGTAGAACCAAAGATGATGAAACTTAACAAACTAAACAGGAAACACAAGCAAAACTGGTTTATTAATTTAATTTTTGGTGATTTTTTAATTTTGAGCGATGGCTTCATTGGGATGTTTTGTTAAAGCTCTTTTAAGGGTCAAACAACACTAGTATATTTTCAGATGCTTGATAACCGTTGTTGAATGTCATAGTTCCACATGTGGCTTGCTTTCGTACATGTATTTATTTGGAATGTAGTGAGATACGATTAACAAGGGAATTGGTAAAAGAAAAAAGTTTTTTTGAGAAGAATTTGAAATTTTTTTATATTGTATTCAATGGAGAATGGACCAATTTAGATACTACTACTACTACTATCGGTTTACAGCGTTTTACGACGCCTTCCGACTTCTAACCGCCATTCTTCTCTATTTAACCATAGGCCTGGAGGGATTTCTCTTTCCTCTAGTTCTTTTTCAATTCCCTCTCTCCAGCTTCTTCTCGGTCTTCCTCTTTTCCTTCTCCCTTGTGATGTCCACGTCAAAATCTGTTTTGGAATCCTGTCATCTGGCATTCTCTGTACATGGCCGTACCATATTAACTGTTTTGTTTTTATGTCATCAACTATTGTATGCTTGACTCCCATCATTTCTCGTATTCTCTCATTTGGTATCCTATCTCTTCTTGATTTGCCTGCTGCTCTTCTCCAGAAGTCCATTTCTATTGCTAGTAATAGTTTCTCTGTTCTTTGTTTCATTGGCCAAACTTCACTGCCATATGTGATTACACTTTTAGGTATGGTGTTGTATATGAGTTGTTTGTTCGCTTTAGATATTGTTTGGTCCCACAGAATGCCGTTTATCATGGATATGGCTTTTCTACCCTGTATGTTTATGTCTTTTATAGCAGCATCGAGTGTTCCATCTTGAGTTATCTTCATACCCATGTACTTGTATTCATCACAGTTTCTTCTAATTTCTACCCCATCGTCTAATATAATGGACTGTTTTGTCCCTCCAATACCTACACATGGCTCCAGTTTTCTTAATGTTGACTTTGAGACCCCATTTGTTATATTCTTCTATTGCCAATTTAGATAATTAGTTAAAAAAAAAGAAGAGAAAAAAGTTTTTTTTTGACAATTAGTTAAAAAAGAAGATTCTTCTAAAAAAAAAAATAAATGTCATGTGTCAAGATTCACGAGACTTTACTGGACACATTATTTTTATTTATAATTTTTAACATTATTACCAGCCAGTAAAAGTACATTAAATTGTTCTTGGAATTTTAATTTTTCACGCTTTTTTATTCTTCTAGGATGTTTTTTGTTAGCTACTTTACTTTGACTTGTTTGTAGACAATTTTTCGTTTATTATATTTATTTTGTTGTTGCAATTTTTTCATAATTAAGTTCTCTAGCTTTAAAAGTTTAAATAAGACCGAAGTTGTCATCGGTTAAAGCAATCGCCAAACTTGGTGATCTGAGACGTGAATCCAACAAAGATAAATTGAAGCAGACATTTGCATATTACATAATTTTCTCCACATGAGGTACTTTTTCTGAAACAATTTCGTAAATTTTGAAAAATACCAAGATAAAACAAATCGATACTTTTATAAAAAACTATAATAATATATAGAAAAATGTTTTCGAACTTATCTGAAATAACAATAAAAAAAATAATTTAGTAGTTTTTAAATATTTTGAATGTTACGTTATTTTTTGATATCATAAATGTCAACAATTTTTAGTCCATTGAAAAATTAAATGAAGATTTTTTATTTTTTTTTAATTCTATTTAATATTCTAATTCAATATTCAATATCTTCTCTTTTAAAATCCGTAAAATAGTTTCGAAACACAATTCAGAATTCTGCTTATAATCTGAGCCTTCTAAAAATTGCAAGGCAAACAGACGTTGATAAAAGATGTTAAAAGGGACATGGGGAATCTAAAATTTGCATTCCACGACATGTCTTTTACAACTAAACAGAAATCCTTAGCGAATTGTGGTTCTCGTACTCACACAGAGCATATCCGAATAAAATGAAAAAGACACCAAATATTTGATTTCACGCAAACAACTCCTATGTATCTGTTGATACGTATTTCGACCTAATAGGTCTCATCAGAACAGTTATTCATAGGTGTTCTCAACGTGAAAAATCAATATTTTCTGTCTTTTAAGAAGCAACACTAAAATGGCTTCAATACGGACGCGATAACGACATCTAATTTTTCACGTTGAGAACACCTATGAATAACTGTTCTGATGAGACCTATTAGGTCGAAATACGTATCAACAGATACATAGGAGTTGTTTGCGTGAAATCAAATATTTGCTGTCTTTTTTATTTTATTCGGATATGCTCTGTGTGAGTACGAGAAACACAATTCGCTAAGGATTTCTGCTTAGTTGTAAAAGAGATGTCGTGGAATGCAAATTTTAGATTCCCCATGTCCCTTTTAACATCTTTTATCAACGTCTGTTTGCCTTGCAATTTTTGGAAGGCTCAGATTATAAGCAGAAATCTGAATTGTGTTTCGAAACTATTTTACGGATTTTATTATTAGATGTCGCTATCGCGTCCGTATTGAAGCTATTTTAGTGTTGCTTCTGAAAAGACAGAAAATATTGATTTTTCACGTTGAGAACACCTATGAATAACTGTTCTGATGAGACCTATTAGGACGAAATCAGTATCAACAGATACATATGAGTTGTTTGCGTGAAATCAAATATTTGCTGTCTTTTTCATTTTATTCGGATATGCTCTGTGTGAGTACGAGAAACACGATTCGCTAACGATTTCTGCTTAGTTGTAAAAGACATGTCGTGGAATGTAAATTTTAGATTCCCCATGTCCCTTTTAACATCTTTTATCAACTTCTGTTTGCCTTGCAATTTTTAGAAGGCTCAGATTATAAGCAGAAATCTGAATTGTGTTTCGAAACTATTTTACGGATTTTATTATTAGATGTCGCTATCGCGTCCATATTGAAGCCATTTTAGTGTTGCTTCTGAAAAGACAGAAAATATTGATTTTTCACGTTGAGAACACCTATGAATAACTGTTCTGATGAGACCTATTAGGTTGAAATACGTATCAACAGATACATAGGAGTTGTTTGCGTGAAATCAAATATTTGCTGTCTTTTTCATTTTATCTTCTCTTTTGCTTAAGGTGTTTTGTGTAGTTTTAATTAAACACATTTCTAGAAACAGTCTTTTGTTGTAATTTCTTTCCCTTCTCAATATTTCTGCTTGATCATAGTTAGGCGTATGTACTTTACTGAGATTGATGTCACTCTTGTAAAAAAGAATAAAATTGCGCTCTCTAAGAAATGCATGCAAGGCATAAAAAATGAAACATTTCAATGGACTATTTGCAATAAACTAAATTAGACCTGTGCCGATTTACCATCTTTGGCGTTTGCTCTATACAAATGTCTTAACGCTCTTAGAAAACGATAGATTGATTTTAAGCATCATGCTCGCTTCGGAGTTGGTTAGAAACCCAGAGGTAATATGCGCTGAGGCTTTTATGGCACTTGTCGATGATTAATCTTTGTGCTAATGTGTTTATTTCACATTCGTATAATTGGATTATGTCTGATCTGATTGCGGTATCAGTATTCTGCGAGTAATCTATAAAAATAAGTCTATTGGAATATAAAACATATAAATTGCTTACGAGATTACCGGAGGCCTACTTCTTACAGTTTGTGCAGAGTTATATGCAAAATAAAGCGTCAATCTCATCCCCTCTGTTTATTATTTAATGAGGGAACAGCCCTCACGTATAGGCTTACTCAAAATGTTCTCTAACTAAACACCGCTTATTTGTGCTGGAGAGCCATATTTTGCCTGTGACTTTTCGTAAACTTTTTGACAGTCAGCCGCCAAAAAGCCAGCCGGAAATCAGGGCTATAAAAAGCATAAATAAAGGGGTTTATGGCTGAGTTTATCCAACCCAGCCAAGTTAGATACGACATTATCAAAGTATTCACGTCGTTGGTATTTATAAACGGCGTTAACAAGTAGAATATAAAAAATGGAAGCCAACAAGCGATGAATCCACCTATGACGATACTCAACGTCTGTGCAGTTTTGGTTTCTCTTCTAAAGGAAGATACTCTGGAGGCAGGTTCGAAGTTCAAGACTGAAGTGTCCAGTGTTAGACTCTCTGGTCTCGCCTGTCTCAACGGGAATGTTGTTCTGTATAAACTAGCTGATCTAGACGCAGCCAATGGCTCGTGCGGAACGTGGTTAAAGAAATAATTTGATCGCAGTGATCGGGACTGGATGACTGTTTGCTTCTTTGGTTGATCGTTGTGAATTGGCTCTGGAGAATGATTGCTGTAAAATATATATTTGTTAATACTTACATTATTTACTACATTTTTAACATTTGATTTAATAATTTTGGTTAAGGGGAATTCAAACGAGCGCGTTCTACAAGAATATACAAGTATAAAAATGTTTACATTTTCACAAATACTGTAGAATCTTACAATTCACCCTCCTTCACTTTTACATCCACGTATGGTCTAGGATTAGCAGTCAACTCCCAATACGTCGGCCTAAAAATGAATATGAAAAAAACAAAAATAATGACAAACACAGATGACCCCAGACATATAACTATAAACGGCAGTGAGATAGAACAAATCCAGGAATATATCTACCTAGGCCAAATCCTGAAACTTGACAAAGAGAACCAAAGTGCGGAAATTACTAGAAGAACAAGACTATCCTGGGCAGGATTTGGAAAACTTAGTTAAATATTTAACCCTAGAATGGTAGACTGGTGTCGCCAGTGACACCGCGCAGTTTCGATTAGATGCAGTCAGCACGTTTCTAAGGAGGGGTGGCTAGATTCTCAGTACCTTTACCTCTTTTAGTTTCAAACCAACTGTAACCGTAACTGTTTATCGGGCGCTAATAGCTATTGTAAAATATTTATCGGTGTCACATACGACACAACAGTACAATTTCCGTTATAATTTTGAATGTAGAAATAAATGGCTTCAACCAGCAAAGCATTGACTCAGGCTGAGTTAGAAGACATTGTGCGTGCTTATGAGGCTAGTGAAATTGATAAAGATGTTCCTTTAAATAATACAGAATCTGAATGTTTGAGTGAGTATGAAGACAATGAGCTTAGTGAAAGTCAATATTCTGATACCATTTCAGCAGAACCATAGGTTATAGAAGAGAAGAGTGAAGATTCGCAGATAGATAGCGATCAAAAAAGAAAAGTAGTATATGGAAAAAATGGTTTTAAGCGGTATAAAATTCCGTTTTTCTCAAAGAACACTCACACAGTTCAAAAAAGCATAGCGCCTTGTCTACTAAGTATAAAGGCTTACGCTTCAAATGTACCAGAAGAGCTTCTGGCTTGGAAACTATTTTTCAGCGACTCAATGATAAATTATATTACTCAATATACAAACCAAGAAATCTCTAACTCATTTATATATCAGTGGTGTTCTAAAAACTAGCTACCTGAGTACCTCGGATTTATGATCAAAACAATTTGGAATACCAATTTTCAGAGCAGCAATGTCACAAAAACGAATTGAATTTTTGATTAATTGCTTTATTTTGATGACAAAACAACTATAGAATAAAGGAAACGTGATGATAAATTTGCACCTATAAGATTTCTTTGGAATGAATTTATTGAAAATTGTGAAGCTAATTACACTCCTGGCGCATATGTGACAATTGATGAACAGTTGCTCAGTGTTAAATCAGTTGCTCAGATGTCCTTTTAAAGTTTATATTCCAAATAAACCAGACAAATATGAAATTCAAATTATATGTATTCTGTACCATATGTGGAAAAAGAGGAACGAGATGCATCATAAACTTTGCCCACCCAATATGTTCTTCTCCTATACAAAAATCTCTATGGCACCAATAGAAATGTCACCATGTATAATTGGTTTTCGTCCTCAGATCTTACAGAAAAGCTTTTACAAAAAAAAAGTTGACAATGGTTGGAATCTTAAGAAAAAAGAAGTCTGACATTCCGCCAGAATTTCTTAAAAAGAATGAAATTGTTCCAATTTCTGACTTTGCTTTTGACGAGAATAAGACGTTAGTATCATTTTCTCCACAACCAAAAAAAAATTTTTCTGTTGCTGTCAACATTTCATACTTATAGTGTAATTGATGAAGACACTAACAAGCTCGAGATTGTTTTATTTTATAACTCTACAAAAGAAGAAGTAGACAGTTGTGTCATTCTAAATCCGTGTCTAGAAAAACAAGTCGGTGGCCTCTTAGACTTTTTTATGACATGTTTGATGGTGCAGGTATTAATACTTATGTAAAAAAGGGATTAAAAATACCAACTTTGTTCAGATTTTTGAGCTGCATGATTTTGGATGTTCTTTCTTCTGTAACAGTAACTTAGCTGTCAAAAACGTTGTTCATAGAACATTATGACACGACAACCATTATTTAGTATGTAGGACAAATATTCAACGAAAATTTAGCATAAATGTAAGAGCTGGAATAATAAACAATCGTTTGATAGGACCACATGAATTATCCAGAAGACTAAACGGAGAGGCCTACCATAATTTCTTACAAAATGTTTTGCCGGTACTTCTTGAAGACGTGCCTTTGCAAACACGCCGTGAAATGTGGTTTCTTTTGCGATAGAGCTCTAGCACATTTTACCTGAGCTGTTAAAAATCTTCTTGATACCACTTATCCCCGTCGTTGGATTGGTAGAAATGGACACATTCTGTGGCCACCACAAATTCTGGAATGCAATGTACTGGATTTTTATTTTTGGGGCCATCTGTAATCGTTAGTTTATGATAACTGAGATAAAATCGAAACAGAAGCTGAATTACGAGAACGAATTGTTGATGTTGCAGAACATATCAGACATAATTTAGTTAACTATAGCATTATTAACAAATGGGTTGATCAACAAAAAAGGTTACACAAGTAACTTTTATACAGATTGTGTTTATAATATTAAAAAATTGAATTTACCTCGAACACCTTATGTTGCCATCTTCGCATTCTGAAGAACCTCGATCCAAATCTGATTCTTCTCTGGTATTATAAATTAGTTTTTGGTTTTTCTGGAATATAAGGTCAATATTATCGTTATATTATTCATTTCGCTTTACTCTATTGTTAAAAGTAACATAATTAAACTAAATAGATAAAAGTGAGACATAATTGATCATAATGAAGAGAATAATATCCAAGAATATAGACACATATTAGGACATTTCAAATGGGCGATTTGATCACGGTTATTATACGTCAAAACATTCCTGAAGAGAGCGACTGCATAAACGCAAACTGTGGCCGTCGGCTTAAAACCATATCATGAAAGATATAGTTAGGGAAAAGTGGGAAAGGAGTACGTACGGAGCTATTAACTTATGCTGCGCGTGCATCTAATAGGTAAACCAAGTAAGCAGTTACAAAAAGGGCTGTATCTGACAAACTACTGAAGGTATAAAAAAATGTTTAAACAGTTTTTAAGAAAAAGTCATGCCAATAATAGATTAAAAAATGTTTTTTTTTTCATTATTTTATAAAATAAAGCCCAATACATAAAAACTCAATCTTTTACAAAAATTTTTAAAAATTTTTAAAAATTTTTGAAAAAACGGATGTATTTTAGGAATGTAAGCGTTTTTTTATTTAATAATAGACATTTTCTTTCATCTGCCTATTTCCAAATTTTCATCCTTGATGTATTTTTTGGGGTCATAGTGTTCTTTGACCAAGCTAAGACTAACGTTCATAATTTCAAATGTATTAGGAATTTTAAAAATTTCAAATTAAAAAATCCGAAAGTATACTTTATAATTTCGAATTTTCAAATTGTAAAAAATACTTCTTTAGTGTATGTACTAAAAAGTAATTGGACTTTCAATTAATTTTATTTACATTTTATAAGGAGAGAGTTTTTATTACATATATTATTTGTAGATTTGTACACATTTAAATTAAAAATTTGAATAATATTTTTTCTAAAAGAATTCAGTTATTAAAAGTTAAAAACATCTTTTATTTTCTTAAAAAATATATGGTGTATGAGTAAAATTTTATCTTTAATTTTATAAAATGCAAAAATTTAATGCTTAGCATTGTATGGCCACGACCATGCGGCATCTGCATAAGAAAATATCTAAAGGTGCACTTGTTGCTCCACTCTTTGATATTTTAGAAGCAGTAATAGCGCTTCAGCTTGTAAAACTTCAGCCAAGACTAAATGTCAGTGAAATGTCCTTCTATATGCGTCTATATTCTTTGATAATATGGTAATAATAATAATTCGTACTATATTTTTTAAAATATTTAAAAAGACTTTAGCATTTGTTTGTAAACTTGTGGAAGCCACTGTTCAATAACATAGCAGTTAAACAAGCATGCTTAAATTATCTAGGCCTGACCAATTCTAATGTAAGGCATGTAAACATGAATTTTAAACATGAAATTACAGGGAAGGATTACATAGAACGTTCCAGTGCCCTCTGTGATTTACAGGTGTGATCAGTAACTATAGAAGAATAAATAATATGCGAACAATGGAGTAGTCTATATAAAATTTAAATAAAAAGTTATTTTCCTACACTTTTATAGCTTTTATGACCACTAATTGAAATGATCAATATATTGACTAAATATCTTAACATAGATACATTTACTTTATGATTATTACTTACTCGTGGATGGGCAGTATCAATATGTGCGAGCTGGTCATGTCTTTGTGCGACTACACATGAAATTTTTATGTACACGTACACCATAACTACCATTGGAATGAAAAAAGACCCCATCGCTGAAAAAATTACATATCCCGTATTTTTGTTATATCGGCACGTTTTTCCTGCATGCTTTCCTGGCTCATACCTAAAACAAAAACAATATAGAAAATTTCTAATAGATGCCTTGTGTAACAGCGTAATAATTTTCACCTTCATAAACCCGAATGGGATGCGAACCAGTCATCAAGTATTGTAAATAAATGGCAAAATAATTTTTTAATATTTATTTCTTCTTAGCTGTTTTAGAATAGAAGAATAGTTATTCTTAATGCAGCATTTGCATTCTATCAACGGCATGGTCCGCGTATTACTATATTATTAAATTTGCAGATTTTTTAGTAAATTAGCTGAATTGACTCAAATATTGCCATTTCATGCAAACGTAATTCATTTCATTGAAAAAATTACCCCACTCGCTCCCTCAATATTTTGTGAAATTCTTTATTTAAAACACGAGCCAAAACAAACAAACTCAATAAAATAAACAATTTTTTATAGCCCTATTATTTCGGTTTACGATATCTACACATAATTAGAAGCTAAATGTGGCAAATAAAGTGTTTATTTATGTTGCACATGAAAGATGTGTCAAATTTTATTGATACTGCGAAGCGGAGTATAAACAGATCTGCCCGTTCAGTTATTTCGGTTTCGGTTTCAAGTAAAAATGATCGGAAAACTGGGTTAAAATAATTCTTTTATCGATGTGCCGGTGCATTGCAAAATATATTGGTGACATTTCGGTATAATGGATAATGGAAATAATGGATGTGAAGTTTCAAATTTAAATCGCGTATCACTTGGATGTATTCAAGTGTTTTCAATAATATAAATATGAAACTAGGCTAAATAACTTATTTACGGTATGCGAAAAGTCATGGTTTTTTTATCAACCGGATCAACTACTAAGAGTTATTAGCGAAGGGACAAATGAAGGGTTCAATGCATAAACCGGGCAAGTCCACTTTTTGGGCAAAATGAGTTAAGCATTTATTCATGCACAGTATAAAATTCTGCATCTTCCAGTGCATAAAGCAGCTAGATAGGATTAAAAATATCAAAACTAGAGCGTATAATGTGTTGCCTGCATTTTGATACTCTGTATAAACCGGTGGAGTCCAGGACTTGACCGGTTAATACACCACAGTGCTCTTAGTCCTCAGTCAAATAGGTTATCATTCATTGTGTTATTGTTGTTGGCATCAAGGTGTTGTTATTTTGAGTAATTCACAGTGTTTATTTATTAATAGTTTTAAAGTTAAAAATAATGTCTTCTAATACAGAAAGTGTCAGTGATCCTTTTGAAGGCACCCATATATCCAGTGACGAAGATTATGTGGCAATTATAAATAAACATAACCACAAAATTCAGACCCTTACAAACTATACTGCATCCGATGATTGATGATAGCTCTGATGGAGAAAATAAAGAACCTGAAGCCATCCCTAATACGTCAGATGTTCCTGAAATGTCTAATAATACGACACAAACAGGAAAAAAGCGACTTTTACGTACAGCCTCATGGTAAAGAAACATACGAAAAAATAAACGAGTTAAGGGTGAGCCTTATTTGACCATTGCTGGTGTATATAAAACCGGAAAACATATTGGTACTAACTGCAACTGTAAGCTAAAGTGTTTTGAAGAAGTTGGGCATGAAAACTGTACCAAAATATTTCGCGATTTTTGTGCCATGGGAACAAAAGATCTCCAAGATGCTTATTTATATAAAAATATTGACAAACTAGAAGTTAAACGAGTAAGACCACGTTCTGGCCAAGGAATGAAAAAGAAATCATCATTTACTTACAAGGTAATATTACTGGTTGAAATATGAAATATAAATTGCTTGAGCTTAAGCTTTTACCAAGTATTTAAAATGTTTTATTGTTTCAGGTTCGCTGCGATGGGGCGACACGGAAAATTTGCAAAAAGACATTGCTTTCATTACGTGATTTTTCGAAAGCAAGACTTGAACGTTTACAGAATTACTTACCCGTCGGCACTGATGATAAGATACGTTAGCATATACTTAGTTACCCAAGATACAAATCGCATTACAGTTTGAAAGATAACTTACAGCACTATTACCTTTCGCCTCTTTTAAATATTGCAAAAATGCATCACATGTACTTAAAACAATACGAACCGGAACAATTACTTCTACAAAATGAAAATATGAAACCGATTGTAAAGTATGAAAGTAAAGTATTATAGAAAATTTTTTACAGATAACTTTAAAATATCCTTCGGTAAACCAAAGTCAGATACTTGCCAGAAGTGTGATAAGTTACAAAATCAAATTAATGTTGCCGATAATGATGACCAAAAAAGAGCAATGGAAACAGAGAAAAAACTACATATTACAAAAGCTGAAACTTTTTATCAAGACATGAAAGTAAAAACAGATTTAGCTGAGAATAATATACAAGTAGAAATTTTTACATTCGATTTTCAGCAAAATTTGCCACTTTCAGTGTCCTCGAGTAGTGAAGTTTTCTACAAAATTAAACTTTGGGTATACAATTTTTGTATTCATGTGGGAAGTACTGGAAAAAGTTATTTTTATGTTTATGATGGGACAATAGCTGCAAAAGGACAAAACGATGTATCTAGTGTACTACATCATTTTTTAAATAATCATATTAATCAAGACGTAACCACTATTTACATATTTTCTGATAACTGTTCGCCCCAAAACAAAAATTGTGTACTGGTACAGTTTTTTATACCATTTTGGCAACTACTGAGAAGCTTAGACTGATAGTGCACAGATACCCTGAACCCGGACATAGTTTCCTTCTCTGTGACCGAAGCTTTGGAGCAATAGAAAGACAAAAACGGAAACATGACAAGATATATTTACCCCAAGAATACTCAAAAATTATTGAAAATAGTAACAAAAAGTTTCAAGTTATTAATGTGACTCAAGATATGTTTCTGAACTTTAAGACCCATTTTCAACAATTTTTTGTGAAAAATCCTTCACGGAAGAACAACCAATTTACCATTTCAAAATATCGTGTCATGCGATATGAAAAATTAGATAGTGAAATGACGTTTAAATGTAGCGAAACCAATTTTACTGTATTCAATACTTTTGAAATAAGAGATAAGAGGAATCATGAGTCCATTTCAAATAGGTAAAATAAATAATAAATAAGACTTACTCACAATCAATTTAATTTAACTATTCAGACGACCGGTTTTGCTTTCTACAATATGCAAAGCATCTTAAGGTCTCGATACAAAGTTAATTAAATTATGCCGGTACTAATTAACTTTGTATCGAGACCTGAAGATGCTTTGAAAAAGAACAAAAAACATACATACACATAACATAAATGTTATGCCTTTGGCAACAAATTATGTGCCACAGTGTGATCAATGGTTTTATGAAGCAATCCGAAATTACCATCAGAACGTCTCACCCGACAATAAGAAAACTTCGGTATCAGAATTCAGTGACAGTGAGTAAAGAAAAATATATCAACTCTGCACTAACATTCAGTTGAAACTATGTTCTTGTTTATTTCATTTAATAAATTGCTAGAAAATAATTTTTTGAATATGAAATTCTATTTTGTTTTATTTTTTCCCGCAAAAAAAGATGAATACTTTGCAGAAACCAATCAAGTCCAATTATTTTTCACCCATAACTTTTTTGTTTTTTAACTTACAACTTATTATTAAATTATTAAAAAAAATAGTGTTAACAAGATGATCTTTAAATGTTAGAAAATACAAAATTTATCAGGATTTCATAGTTTTCGCTCAAAATGGTTTTTAATTCTCCCGAACATTTTGCTTTATTTGATTTGATCGGTTTATGCATTGGATCCTTCTAATACAGTGACGCACCTAGAATTTTCATAGAGGGGGTTTGGTTGGGCACCGAAACTTTTTTTATGAGTCCTTCCATTTTAAGTCCTTAAAATTAAAACTTGTGTTTTAGTTTAATTTAAAGTACTAAAGATAGCAGTGCCAAAGGTTCAGGTATCTACTATCCTGCCTACCAACTAAAACCACCGTCTCTTACTTGTGCGCAGTTGACTGTCACACGTACCGTACTCCGAAATTGGGGTGGCCACTGTAAGGTAGACGATATTTTTGGAACACTTTCTTCTCCTCTTATCTAGATCTTATTTCTGTCATGTCCGGTTGGCGTTTCTCTTCTTCTTCTTCTTTTTTAATTATTGTTCAGCTGATGTTTTTAAAAACACCATTCCAACCCTACTTATTTTCCGTCATTTTCACTTTCATATTTCTCACAGTCACAGTGTTCATGTACTGTGCTTCTATTACACTTCAACATTATATGAGTAGTGTGAGATTATTCACAGTATAGGCATTTATCTGTATCTGTCTTTATACGCCCTAAAACACACAATCTATGGAGTGTCTTAGGCTCGGGATCAGCATCTTGGTCCACTGGGCAACATCTTCTGTATTGTTCCACTCTCCTGCCATCTTTCGATTGATCTTTGCCTTTCTTCTTTTTTTATGGCTGTTGTCAAATGATCTCTTCTCTCATAAAGATGTCTCCTGTCTACTGCTAACACAAATACTGCAATAGAAAAAGCAATTAACTGTATCATCACTTACCATCCAAATATAGGCGGACATGATATCAGTAGAGAACTTATCCAAACCACCAAAATCATTCCTAAAGCCAGTCTTTTCGATCTTCTCTTTCTGGAATACCGAAGTGGTTGAGTTACTGCTAAGTATCGATCGACGCTAATGGCACAAAGACTAAGGATGGAAGCAGTACATAGCAGAATGTCTAGCGAAATCCATACGTCACAGAGGATCCAACCTAATTCCCAAACTCCTGCAAAAATCAATAATTATCTTAGTATCGAGGCTAGTCAACATAGCAATTAAAATATAGATTATAATAATACAATATCGAGAATAATAGTACATTGTTTACCGGGTAGGAAAAGCTTAACATTCCTGGACGACTGTGAAGATTGCTAAGTCGAGGGGCATGCCGAGACTTAGCAACACAGAGTCCAGGAATGTGGCTTTTCCTACGAGGTAAACATACTATTTTTCCGCAAATCGTTTAAAATTCGACAGATATTGATTGATTTAAAAAAAAACGCGATAATTTTATTCCCAAATAAATGGTGCTTTGAAATTCCTAATAAAATTACTTGGGTTACTATGGAAACGTATTGAGGTTGAACTGTCAAACTTGACGCTTATAAATTTAATTACTGGTGTTCTCGAAAGTAAAATGATAAGTGATGATATGATGAAATTTTCATTCCTGGGACTCCTCCAGAGCTGGTCGAGGCAGTGAATACTGCTTCATTAGAAATATTGCCAAAGAAATCAAGAGAAAAGTACGAAAATGCATACAGATGTTTTATTTATTATCGCATGAGTAAAAATACGAGTTCTTTCTCAGAAAATGTTGTAATGGCCTACTTCCTAGACCTTTGTTTAAAGATGAAATCTTCAACATTATGGGCCAATTATTCAATGCTGAAGTCAACCCTTGCACTTAAACACAATGAAGTTATATCTACATACTCAAAACTTCGTTCTTTATTGAAACGGCAAGCTCAAGGTTATCGGGCAAAGAAATCTAAGATTTTAACGAAGGAAGAAATTGAAAAATTTATCCAGGAAGCTCCAGATAAAGAAAATTTAATGATTAAGGTAATTTACAAGGTTTTAATTTCTATTTAGATTATAGCTTTATTTATTTTTTAGGTGGCTGTAATATTTGGTATTTCTGGGGCCTGTAGAATGGATGAGTTAGTCTGAATGACTATACACGATATAGAAGAAGCATACCTGATTCGAAAACCAACAAACCAAGATCATTTGTAATTAATCAGATCTACTTGAATGTTTATCGAAAGTATGTTTCGTTAAGACCAGAAAATATGAACAGTGACCGATTTTTCTTTAAATATCAAAGCGGAAAGGGTTGTAGACAAGTGGTAGGAATTCATCAATTTAGAAAAATGCCCAAAATAATTGCTACTTATTTGAACTTGGTAAATCCGACAGAATATACTGGTCACTGCTTTCGTCGGTCTTCTGCAACAATATTGGTTGACTCTGGTGCCGACATAACTAGTTTAAAGAGGCATGGCGGATGGAAGTCATCAAACGTTGCTGAAGGATATATCGAAGAATCGCTTAACAATAAGGTTGAGGTGGCAAATAAAATTTTCACAGTACAAAATATTCAACAAAATGACACTTCCACCCTGCATGTTGTCCAAAATGTTTCTCATAGTTCTAAGAGTGTTCCTCCAATGTTCAATAATTGTACTAACTGTCAAATTACTGTTAATATAACAAATTGATCTTAAAAATGTATTCAGCAATGACTTGATATTTTCAAAATATAAATTAATTCCTTATAAGCAATGTGTTTTCTATCATTTATGTAGAACACTAACAACTGTACGGAAATATCATTTCCTTACAGTAAGGAAATGACATTTCCTTACAGTAAGGAAGTCTTGACTTTTTCTTCAAGAAATTTTGACAGGAATGTCAAAATTTCCTGGCGATTTGCGGAAAATCGTTTTTAATGGATTTCTGACCTAATTATTTCAGGGTCAGGATCAACCACTTTTAAATAATGAATGTCATTGGCATCTGTTTTAAATAAAATAGCCTGTTAATTTTTTTACCGATAAAAAGAGAACTTATATTCAAATACCTGATATGCGTTTTGATAGAGTTGCAATTCGTTCTATCGCCCATTTTATAAATCGGTACTGTCTAAGCCTTATGCCAGTCAATTGGTATCTGTTGCTGTCGCTGCAAATTTCATTAAATATCTTTGTAATATCCTGATGCCTTCCCGTTTTTGTTTCTGCAATAGCTTCTTGCTGCTCATGTATGGTTATTGTTTGGAAAAGTATGTACTATTTCTTTTCATATTTTTACATTTAATATGTTTTTTTAGTGGACTATAATGTGATCTAATTCAATGCTGTATTCTAACGACTTTCTTAACATATATTGCTTCCTGATATTTCGCAGAATTGTTAAACTGGCAATCTAATTTATTATGTTTTAAGAACGGAGAATTTGGCTTTCTCTTTTGTATTTTGTGTCACAAATATAGAAATATGTGTAAATTTTCGTATTACCGTGACATTTAACTTAAATTATCGCCAATCACAATCGTCCTACAATAGGGTTGATTTATGGGATGCTCTTGCCCTACGAGCTGTTGACCACTCAACGGTTAGAGGGTACTTTCTGACCGTCTCAAGTCTCAACACACACTTCTTTACAACGCAACGAACGAAACGCACCCAGTTTTATCGGTTCTCGTGCTATGGAGCCTCGGCGTCGTGACGCACCGCGGCCAACTCTTCAGCCCGTTACGAATATATCAATATAACCAAAGGGTAATAGTCTATATTCTTTGTACAGACAACAATAATGAATAAGGCTAGTTAATTTCGGAATTTATTCACAATTGATAGTTGCTATTTTTCGCTAATTTATTTACAGTGAAAATATTACATTTTTCTCTATTATTATTTTTAAATTCATTTAACCAGCAACCAAGTTTTATACAAAACAGTTATAGTATCATCTTTTATTTTTGGTTCAATAAGTTGTTTTCTTCTTGATAACAGTATTGTAGCATCTTTTTCAAGTAACATTGTGGCTTATTCCCAACAAAAATAGTAAATTGCATTAAGATGCTACAGGAAATTACATTTAGAACAATATTAAATATTTTTCAAAAATGGCGAAGGCACGAATTTTAAAATTTTGGTGGAAGCGTGTTAATTGTCCGATAATATAAATATTATGTTTCTATACAGTGGTGAGTGCTTTATCACCCGGCTTTTTAACGTAAGAGATAGAAAACACAGTTACCTTGTGAAGTAAAAAGAGATGAAACTCGTAAAGGTGGGAAATAATCGATAGAAACCTATAATTTACATTACATTACATTACCACCGTCGATAGTCTCACACCTTTAGACGTTATTATAGTATTAGAAGTGTTTAAAGTCGCTTTAAAACCCGGCAAAATAGCGGAAAGGATAGAAGATGGATTTTGTGAGAAAGAATGAGATAAAGCTAGTTCTTAGACGTGGCTATTTGACTTCAGTCATAATTATACGGATGACCGCGAAAATATTTTATTTTAATAATTTCTGATGTAAGAATAAATGATTGAATAAATTAACAATTAAAGTAAAAAACATTAATTAGTAGCAATTTTAAATTATAAATCTTTAAGTTTATTTAATAATAAAAATAACTCAACTGAAATATTTGACTAAACTAAAGGTAGGTATGTTCTATCCGAAAACATTTATTGTATGTGGAGTTGGTGTAATTATTAAACACGTGGTCTATTGACCAGAAGATTGGGGTTCAATTCCCACCAAGGACAAAAATTTTGTTTTACTCAATCAAAAAATAATAGAAAATATTATACATATTAGTTAGGTAACAAGTTTTCGAAAAACTCATTATTTATAATTTATTCTTATTCCAATGTTATAAAACGGAAATACAAAATAATTCAAATTCAAAAAGATATTTATGTGTAACTTTAAACACTTCTAATACTAGTAACGACTGACATAAATGTTTAGTGATTCAAATCAAAACGATCTCTGCATAATTTCAAATTATTAAAAAAAAAGAAAACCACATATGGGTTTTGAACTCTAATCGTCTGCGTCGCAGTGTCGAATTCTTACCACTAATCCACGAAGGACTGATGTTTATTTCCGTGACAAGAGTGTATGAAACTCCTCAAATCATAGAAATTATTTTTGGTTAATAATTTAAAATTTTAGATTAAATAATCATTATTAATTAATTTACTTTATTCACATTTTTGCTTTATTGTGGTCAATCATTTTTTACTTTATGTGAAATTAAAAAATGTCACTGAAATACGTTACACATACGACGTCACAAATAATAATTATGACCAAGGTGATTTAGCTGGAAGCTAACGTCTAAAAGTGTGAGACTATCGATAGTATTAATGCAATGTAATGTAAATTATAGGTTTCTATCGATTATTTCCGACCTCTACGAGTTTCATCTCTTTTTATTTCACAAGGTAACTATGTTTTCTATCTCTTACGTTTAAAAGCCGGGTGATAAAACCACTGTATAATACTTATAAGCTATTTGTGTTTTTTTGGTATAGTATGTCCTCAGTAACGTTACTTAATCGAAAACAATATGAGAAACATAGTTATTAGCAAGCAAATAGTGTTTATCAGAAATATATTTTTCGAAATATTTTTGAGGAGGAAATGTTGACATTTTAAGTAAAAATGATGCTTTAATTAAACATTTTTGTTAGTAATTTTATTTTTTATAGTTAGTAGTTAGATTATAAAAATAAAAACATAAAAACTTAAGTGTTTTTTATTAACAAGTAATAATATGAAATTTTTAGTTAAAAAATTACTGTTATTTTTTGGAAACTTTTTGGATAACTTAAGAGTTAACTGGACCACATCACTTCAAAAATTGCAGTTTGATGTGGTGATGTTGCAGTGAAGTAAAACTTTATATACTGAAACAACTGGTCTATTATACTTACCAATAAGTGTATACGCCACCGCTGGTGGCATAACACATATACCAACCAGCCAGTCAGCCACCGCCAAAGACATGACAAAGCAATTCGTCACGGTTCGTAGCCGCCTCGTCGTCATCACTGCCAAAATGACGAGCGTATTTCCTATAATTACTATCAAAATTACGATGGTGAGCAGTATCGCGAGCGCGATATGCTGGATGTAGTTGTTGGACTCCTGGGCGGTGGATGTTGCTTCTGCACTGGTGAAGTTGAGAGAGATCGTGAGACCTGCCGTCAGTGTGTCGTTTGACATTCCTTGTCATTTCTGAAAGAAAAAATATTTATCATAAAATCGGGTTGTTTCATTATTACAATAAAATTAATTATAAAATAGTACAGAAAATATTGACGCTTAAATTTTTTATTTACTATTTTCATTAGAAAGAAGCCGCAATTTAACTTTAAAATGGTTATTTTACGTTTCGACATGAAAATCGTTCCCAAAATACAAAACACAAATACGTAAAATAAATTTTGGTTTTGTTGGTAAAAAAAATTCTTCTAATACTTTAGTTTAATCACTTACTTACATCGACAATTCAGACATATATTATAGGTACATTTTTTTTGCTTAGATAAGAAAAGAGTGAGGACAGGTAGCATACATTTAACAAACCTTCGTAACGTGAAGCCAGTTTCAATGTAAACGCCATGTTTTGGTGCCTGTACGTTGCCTATTACTACCTCTCGCAGAGTTACCAGGTCTACTGATTTTTCAGTAGATCTACTGATTTAAACTTCAATTTACTAATTTACTGAAACACTATATCGATTTTCTAAAAAATATGTAATGATAAAATCATGTTCAAAAAGTGATCATTCTGTCAGTGTTCAATTATAAATTTTGAAAAAAAATCTATTTAGTGATATAAATTGTTATGATGTTTTTTTTGTATACGAGCAATGAGTGTTTAAAATAAAATATATGAGTATAGGGTTTTCATCGCGGTTCTCAAAGAATTAGTTTGTAAGTACTTTTTTAAATTATCTTTATTATAACTATTATGAAACAGACATATATATCTAATATAAACAATTTAAATTTAAAACAACCTATCTAAATTTGAAATTCTTACAATTATTAGATTATATTAACAAAATTTGGTACCTTTCTGTCACTGAACGCCTAAAGTTTTCCAAAATCAAAGTTATAATCACCACTAAATATCTTCTTAATCAGCTTCGGTTATCCTTGTCTTTGTTAAATTGCATATAGATATTATAATTTAAAATTCTTGTAATCTCCATATAATATATTATACTCTTGTATTGAAATGTCTAATCGAATTAATTTACTCTCCAACTGTATCTGACTTAATGAATTCTTCCAAGATAATCCTTTCTGCTTATTTAATTTAATTATAACTGTATTGAACTATCTTTCTTGATAAATCTAATTTAATGACTTAATTGTACCTGACTGACTGACTTCTTATCACTTAATCCTTTTTTCCACCTTAATTTAACTTAATCACTTCATGAATTCTTCTCACTTAATCAATTGTAACTGACTGACTGACTTAATGTAACTTTATTCTTAAATTCTTCTAACTAATTCACTTAATAATTGACTGTAACTGAATAATTGACTGTAACTTAATGACTTCCTGTAACTTAATGATCTTCTAACTTTACTAACTTCACGAATCAACTGTAACTTACTTAATAATTCCCCCTTCCTCCCAATTACATCGATTATATATCGTTTCATGTTTCCAGAATCATCGGGAAAGAAATCATGTTCTAAACTTTTCATCTCATCTATAGATGAAAGTTCTGGAATCATCTACTATGCAAATAGGATTAACTGTCTTGTGTATTGACGTTTTCCAGAAAATTCTAGTGAGATACTTATGGACATTTAGGCTTTCAGATCAGAATTCACTATTATATATATATATATATATATATATATATATATATAGTATATATATATATAAACTAAATATTTTAAACTACTATATTATCACTATCTTACATCCGTAATAATATTTAAATTACAATTCCAAACTAATATCTAACCTCATTTTTCATCTGTCACTTATTTAGTTCAAAAATAGGCATCGTCATGTCATATACAGTGTATATTTGGTTGCCTATACACAAGGCTCACTTAAATATATTTATTTATAAAATAAAAAAAACTTTTAACAACTTAATCCTATGCTAAATTTTCAAAAATACCCTCATATAATTATTTTTTAATAATATTTGCTAGTATGACTTATAAATTATTTCTTTAACCACTATTTAAGTAAGTTTATTAATTACACATAATACATCATAATATTACTATTCTTGTATATGTAATTATTATTTCAATATATATATATATATATATATATATATATATATATATATATATATATAAGAGTAAGAAAAAAGAAGTACTTGTGACTCGTTTGGAAAAAATATAACACTGTTTTTGATGGGTTGGAGTCAATAAAAGGGGCTATTTGTTGACTATTTTTTACTCGAGCTTTCAATTGTGATTACAATTTTTATCAAGAGCTTCTAAAAAATACAAAATGTCTTACAAAGTTGAACTAGAAATAAAAAATTTTTTGTTAACTCACCAAATAAAATTAGCTTTTTATATAAAACTACTGCTTACATATTAAATACAAAAAATATTAATAAAAAAATGTCTTATTCTAATAAATGTTTCTCTGAAAAATTAAGATGAAGTTTCTTAAGAAAAAAAAATTGAATTTATAAACAAAAATAGAACAGCTACAACCAGCCTAAATGTCATAAATACTAACTTAAAAATTTTTATTTTTGACATATTGTCAAAAATAAAATTTTGTTTAAAAAATTCTTCTTTGTTTAGTAACAAAAAAGAAGAAGATTTATTCACCATTGATAGATGCCCGTTGATAGATGAACATTTTGAATTTTCCATGTATTTGCTACATTTTTTAATGATTAATTAAACCCAGCTGGTTACCAGCTGGTAGTTACCTGGTAGTTACCAGCTGGTAGTTACCTGGTAGTTACCAGCTGGTAGTTACCTGGTAGTTACCAGCTGGTACTTACCAGCTGGAGTTCGTTTGAAGAGGTTTACTCTTCGGCCACTGGAACTCACCTAAAACATGGGTGTATGTTACCTGAAGTCAAATTTAATATAATATCAAACATAATATGTGATTAACATTATGTACAATCTTTAGTAACCATATGTAATTTAAAGGGTTTTTACCCTGATATTTTGGTGGCTCAGGCATGTCAATTTGAATTTTAAACCTGATGATGGAATTTTTATTCCGAAAACGTTCGTGTAATTGATGTACCCCTTTTAAGGGTTTTTAAATATACCCATTTACAAAGATCTTTTTTGTGATACGTTGTATTCAGCCAGCTGCAGGAATTATTTTCCTTGTGGATTTTATATAAAATTGTATTAGACTATTTAATGTACATAATTATATTTAAAACTGTTGTGTTTGTCATCCCACTAATAACTCTGCGTGTTTGATGTGGTTTTAAAAATTAAAAAAATATATATTTACTCTCAAAATGATCTTAAAGTCAATATTAAAAGTTGTAAAAATACATCTTGTGGTATTGATGGCATTATCTACTTTATGCTCATAAACCTGCCCGATATTCTCAAACCTTATACGCAAAATTTAAAACACATTTTACTCAAACATGATTATTGTTGACTCTAATGTTCTTTTGTTTGTTCAACCAATATACGTTATACCTAAGTTGATTTGTTATCGATATTTGTGTTAAACTTTACCGCAATGTGTTTTCGCAAATTTAATTTAAAAAATTGAACACCATAGATATAAAAACAAGCCGTAAATTTAATAAAACCGAAGCTTTCTGGCAGTTAAGGATGTAGTGTATATGGGATAAATTGCTAAAAACAGGGGCCTTTTTTAAAATTGAGTGCCTTTTTAGTTTTTTTTGCGTTTTCGAGTTGTATGATGTCCGTCATAAATCTGTTTAATGATGATATTCTCAGATAAACGGGAGTTGTTTGTACCGGAAAAAAGGCCATTATTAAAATTAAATAATAAATTATTGCTGCGAAAAAGTATGACACGTTATTCTTTTATCAGAAAATGTACCTTTAAATCATCATGAGAGTTCAATTAAAGGGCAGCCTGCGGTTAAGTTTAATAAGTTTTAAATTGCCAAGCACTCGTTATAACAATTACTCTAAATTCAAACGTAACATATAGTCATAATGTGGCGTTTTTCACCCCTAAAAGTTTTGCCTTTACAAAATTTCTTTATAGACACTATTGACGGTGAGTTCTAAAGCATGTTTTATCAAAAGCTAAAATAACCAACATATTACAGTTGGGATATGTTATTTAAAGTAAAAGAAGCTATTTCATGCTAAAATTTAAATTGCACATGTGTGGAATTTTAAAAAAAGTTTTTATTTGTATATATATATATATATATATATATATATATATATATATATATATATATATATAAAACCTAGAGCTAAGATTAATATTATTACTAAAATTAATATTAAACTCACCAGTCTTCCGGGTTGAACCGCGTCGTAATCCATTTTGCCAAGCTTTCGGCATCCTCTTTGATGCCTTCCTCAGGGCTTCCGAGGTCTCAGTCTCTCGAGCCCCCAGACACTACTGCACTGTTCACTATTCACGGCACGATCACTACTGCCGTGCATAGTGAACAGTGCAGTAGTATCTGGGGGCTCGGGAGACTGAGACCTCGGAAGCCCTGAGGAAGGCATCAAAGAGGATGCCGAAAGCTTGGCAAAATGGATTACGACGCGGTTCAACTCGGAAGACTGGTGAGTTTAATATTAATTTTAGTAATAATATTAATCTTAGCTCTAGGTTTTATTGTACTAACCACGGAAATCTTTCCGAACATATATATATATATATATATATATATATATATATATATATATATATATATATATATATATATATATATATATATATATATAATCAATAACCCTTCTACCCTAAGGTGTTGGGTGTAACGTCTCTTTTAGTTTTCATGTACAAACTTCCTCCAATTCTTCTT